CCCCCGCCGCGACCCCGCACTCACCGAGGACTCGCTGTCGCGGACGAGGAAGTCGCCCTGCACGCCCCGCGCGTTGAGCGCACACTCGGCCTGGTGGCGCGTCACGTTCCCGTAGTACCACTCGCGGCCCGCGAAGCGGCCGGCGCGCGCGGGCCCCGCGGGGCCAGAGCCGGCGTGCGGAGCCGGGCCCTCGCTCAGCACCACCACGTAGTTCTTGGGCACCAGGCCGACCTGGCCGCGCGCGTTGCGGCAGCGCCACCACTCGGGGTCGTTCTCGGGCTTCTCGATCACCTCCATGGTCTCGCCCTTGTCGAAGTTGAGCTCCTCCTCGGTGACCGAGCTGAAGGGATACAGCGTCTGCACCACGTGCAGGACCCGCGCGCCCTGCCCGTTGCTGAGCGCTGCGCTGGGCCGCAGGCTCGGGCCCCCGGGCGCGTCGGCGGCCGCCTCGTCCAGCTCCTCCAGCACGTAGTTGGATGGGAACCAGCCCACCTGCCCGTTGTAGCTGCCCCGCCACCAGCCGTCGCTGCACTTCTCCATGACGGTGACGCGCGAGCCCTTCACCAGCGACAGCTCGTCCTCGCGCTCGGCCGCGTACGCGAACTTGACCACGGCCGGGATGCTGAGGTCGTAGATGCGGTCGGCGCCGCCCCCGTTGGCGGGGAACTCCGCGTCCATGCTGGGTGTGGGCGATGCATCGCGGGCGCTTGTCTTCCTGCGGGTCCTGCCGAGGCCTGCGGAGACACGGCAAAGCTCAGTGCGGGGACGGGGCTCAGCGCGCGGGGGCCCGGCATGGGCTCCACGCGGGCACGGGGCTCAGCGTGCGGCGACCCGGCAAGGGTTATCTGCGGGGCCTGGTCCAAGAGACAGCACCTGCACCTGATACAGGACGGACTGGGTCCCGTGGCTGGTGACCAGCCAGTCACCAGCAGAGAAGGTGACAGTGGCTAAATGCCTAAAAGCTGGTTCTTACCAAAACCGATCTCTCTGCTTTCCTCAAAAACCTGCTAGAGCACCAGCAAAACAAGAGGATAAAACAGTGTAAAGTCTGAAAATGATTAGAGCGTCCCTGTGCCACTACTACAAGAGACCAAAAAAAAAAAAAAAAAAAAAAAAAAAAAAAAAACAAGACAGGACAGAAAACGTCTTATGCGTTTTGGATGGGAAGTTGGGCAAAATGAGCTTGCAGAGCCGCCCCAGCTCTCAGCACCCCTCAGGGCTGGCCTGTGCTCAGGCCAGCACCCTCTCCTCCATCCGAGGACACCCGGTGCCCTCCCGGGGCCACCGGGCAGTGGAGCGGCCCCACGGGGCAGAAACCCATACCCCTCCTTCCTCCTGTTCTTTTCTTTCAGCACTGCAGCGACTTCCCACAAGTTGTGATGAGTGAATTAGAAGGAAAAAAAAAGAGCCGACACACTAAATCTACGGCAGAATTTTTCACATTCTGATTGAAAAACCACTAATGGATCAGAAAATCGGTTTAACGGGGTTGTGACCAGCCTGTATGTATGTATCTTCTTTTTAAAAGGGAACAAGATAGAAAACCTCAGAGTGCATCAAACATAGAATTGCTGCTTCAGTCACATATGTGAGTCAGTGCTGAGCTACAATGTGAAAATTATCCCTTCCTGTGCCTGAGGAACACAGCTGGAAAAGCCCTAAGGTAAAAATGCTTTAACCTGGTTAAAATGCACGGAATTCCGGAACCTTGTAGAAAGTGAGCCGAGGGGAGGAGGGCACGTCAGCCCCAGAGATGCAGACGTGGACCTGGACCGGGGGCCCGCCATGCCGCTCACCCGCCACGTCTCCCAGCTAAGTCAGGGTGGAGGTTTTCGTGGCATGGAAACTGTGGCCACTGGCAAACGTTTGTTTTCTCCTGAAAGGATATCAAAGCACTTTGATGGGTGGCTTGTGCCTCCTCCTCCCTTAATTCCCTGCGGTAAAGACAGCTTGGTCCTGAGAATTACCTTTGCTTCTACTCCCCTGCCAGGTGCGGTGGTCAGAGGAATAAAAGGAGGCATCATGATCGTCTCCGACCACGGAGAGTTGGGCGCTGGCTTCCAGAGCAGACCCGCCTCAGGCTGCGTTCTCCGCCCCGGGACACGTGCTCTGCTCAGTGCCACAGGCAGAGCAAGGAGTGTAAGGTAACAGCACACTCGTGATAAGTGCTCACTCACTTGGATCTTCAACTGGAGATACCAATTCTTTTTATTTATTTTTTAATATATTTATTTTATTTATTTATTTTTGGCTGCGTTGAGTCTTCGTTGCTGCGCATGGGCTTTCTCTAGTTGTGGCGAGCGGGGGCTACTCTTCGTTGTGGTGCACGGGCTTCTCATCGCGGTGGCTTCTCTTGTTGCGGAGCACAGGCCCTAGAGTGCCTGGGCTTCAGTAGTTGTAGCATGTGGGCTCAGTAGTTGTGGCTCGCGGGCTCTAGGGCACGGGCTCAGTAGTTGCTCCGCGGCATGTGGGATCTTCCCAGACCAGGGCTCGAACCTGCCTCCCCTGCACTGGCGGGCGGATTCTTAACCACTGCGCCACCAGGGAAGCTCCGAGACACCAATTCTTTAAGCTAATGGCTTCTGCTGTTTCTTTTTGTTCTTCAGCGTCTTACTCAAGTGCACGGGAAATAAAGAGTAAGCCGGGACACCAGACCAAGTTAAACATTTAGATTTCCATGTAAGAATTCATTTGCTTTACACCTGAAAACAGGAATCTCTCAACCTTTGATTTCAAAGCTAGGCGAGTTCAGCTCCGCAATGACACGGCGTTGTGATGATTCAACGGCGTCCTAACCCAGAAGGCACACAGGACAGTTCATGGAAGTAAATGTCCACCCAGAAATCTCGGGCACGAAGGCCTCCAAACCTCCCAGGGCAGTCGGCACGCCGAGCAGGAAT